GCACGTGTGCTTACCATGTGCCAGGCATGGGTACAGTGCTGAGATGACGCGCGTGAGTGCTTACCATGTGCTAGGCATGGGTACAGTGCTGAGATGACGCCCCCTCCGCCCCCTCCGCCCCCCCCCCCCCTCCCCCCCCCCCTCCCCCCTCCCCCCCTGCCCCCCTCCCCATCTGGAGGAACAAAGGTCCGGCAGTAGAGTTTTTGTTTTTTTTAAAATAGGAAGCAGAGTGCGCGGGAGCGCGGAGTGAGACGTATTTGACGACCAAATCCCATGGGCTCCGCAACGGTTTAGGGATTCTAGCTTCAAGAAAATGAGCACCGCGCTACAGCGAGAGGACCACGCGAAAGTAGAGGGTCGATTAGGCACCGCGGCCCGAAGCCATAACAGGGCCACGAAAAACAGCTCGCCGAACAGCCTGCAGCAAACGAGAGTACGTTCTTGGACCCCCCGCTCCCCCCACCGCAGCCCCCCCCCATACCATGGGGGCGGGGGTGGGTGGGGGCGTAATCACTGGTCACGGGACCATATACATATATATATAATACATATATATATATATATATTATGCCATTTGCTTTGGTTTGGCTTTGGTGTTCCTTGAACAAATGCAAGCAACAAATCGAGCAACAGCATGTCTTGAATTGCCCACAATTTCAATTAAAGCTGTCGATGCGCAAAGCCCTAAATCTCAATTCCAATCGTACGCAACTTAGAACTTGAGGCACTCGCTTCGTGAAATTTCGTTCCGTGCGTTTGCTCAGGTCAACTGAATTCTGGCTTGGGCTCCCTTGTCCGGACAAGAACAGCTTCTGCATTTTGGTCCTTCATGTTTGGCTCCATTTTAGCCGGCCACATTGTCTTTGAACCATCCTTCACCCTCCATTGCTGAACCGTTGTGGCAACGGATCCATCCTTTGATTTGACCTGGCAGGGCGAAGATGGGCCTCTGAATGAAGACACGAGCTCAAAAGGCCAGGGATATAGTCCTGTTTCTTTTCACCAACCATTCTCGATTCAAGTGATAATGAATACAGTATGTATTTGAGTGATTGCTGAGCATGTCTCTTGCATGCTGTTTCCATAGCTACCCTCGCAACCGTTTTGGTAAGACTTCTGATAAAGTTGACGGACCGGATCCTTGAACATTCACATTTGTAAGTCGGGTTGTTCCTTGCGAGCCGAACCTTTGGGGGATATCTCGCCCCGCCCTAAAAAGGAGCCTAGACATCATATGCTACGAAAATTAGTTGGCTGGTCCCCCCAATGCATGATTTGCAGACCGACCCATTTCGGGGCATCTCAAACTGATTCCCACAGATTTTTCACTGTGAAGTCGAATGCCTGTGTCCACTCAGCCCGAGCCTCGCCAGATCCCCAGATCAGATCCGGTTCGCCGCCAAGGATGACGCTCACGGTGAGGATGATCATGATCATGCTCATGAACATGGGGACAAGAAGTCGGACGACAAGGTGCCCCTGGCGCTCTCGGTGGTGGCGCTGGTGTTCCTTGGCATGTTTACTGGCCGCGGTCTCCTCCCAGATTTTTCGAATGGGGTACTGTAGGCTATACATGTGATTCAGAATCAGGGAACTTTGAAACGCTTGTACGAGTGGACTAGTTGATGCCACGAAAAACAAAGCTTTGGTCCGCCTTCATGCCGACTCAGATCCCGGTATTTGCTTACAGAGGTGCAAGGAGACATGTTTCAAGGTGCCCCACACAGAGTGTCCACAACGAAGAACGGGGTAATCAGTCTTCAGGTCTGATTCGGGCTTAATGTCAGCGCGTGGAAGGCATGGGGATTCAAAGTGGGCTGCCTTGCTTGTTGTTTGCTGGAGTGTCAGCTTTTCTTCGCCCCTCAGCATCCACTTTACCACCTGCACAGCCTAGGCAGCTCGTTCATCTCTTTGCGGAGTCTGCCTGGTCAATTAAATACCTCGGATTGCAGGTAAACAGGCGGATGTCAAAATTCACGCTTAGGATTTTCGAACGCGCGTGTGATAGGGTCTGTTCCATGGACAAAGATCTACATGTCGGCCACTGAATGCCCGTACAATGCGAAGTGATGTTGTTGGACAAAGGGAAGTGTGCAAACGGATCAAACTTGGATTGTCCACACCACTTTGTCAACTTACAGTTCGACCAAACTGAGCCGAATTTCAAGGTGCAGTTTGATGACCAGTAAGCAAAGGCAGAGCAATCGTTGCCAGAGCGCAAAGCCATGCGCAGCTCACTCAGCAAAGTCGACAGGACATCGCTGCGCGTTGCGCCATGTCTGCGGCATCTGTCTGGAGGTGATGTGTTGTGTTGACTTTGGTTGCATGTAATGAGTGTGTGACAGACAGCCTGTTACGGACAGATGTGGAGGGAGAGACCAGACAGCATCCCTGGACGGAGAAGTGGATGGCCCCGAATGTGACTTCCAGGAGCCAAAGGGTTCGTCGAAGAATCGGTTTAAACAACATGCGTCTGGTCCCCTTTGAGAGGAAACCCAGAAGGAGGTTGTGAGTACTGGCGGTTTGTGTTTAAAGGGGCTGGCAGCCTGACCCTTCAGCCCCCTTTCTGCATATCGGGGATGGTATCTTTACCTTCAATGGTGTGAACACAGTATGGGTGTCGTTTGAGGGTACCCTTGGCGGCCGAAAGGATGGCAACCATCTTGGCTCTTTGAGACGAAACGCAGGCTCTCGATCTTCGCGGGCAGCGCCGGGTGCTGCGCTTTCCTCATGGCCCGCAGGGTGCGCTAGGCGGGCAGACGGGCAGACGGGGTGTGGGACCCATGCTTCTTTTGGGGGGGGGGGGACTGTTTTAGGAAGACAGCCGAAACGCGCTCGAAGCGGTGGTTTGGAACAAAAGAATAGTGATGTTGAGAAGCCCTGAAGCAGCTACAGCAACGTGTTAAGGGACCTAGGTCAATGAGTGATTTGGGCTCACTTCGAATCCAACCCGGCTTGAAGCTGGGCAACGATTTGGGAGGTTTGACTGAGGCATTTAGGGTGGGCTGCCAAGGCTTCAGCCACGTGGGCAGTGCGTCAGATATCCAGGGACTTTTGTTGCAGTGCGTCAAATTTCGGACACCCCTTTTCTGGTCCCTGAACAGCTCGTCGGACGAAATGCTGAAACCAGTCACCAGGCAAAAATTGCAAACGTGCACTCCGGCTCCCCCGACCTTTTGTCAAGCAGGTCGCTATTGCCCTGAGAAAGCACAAGGGTGCGGAGCGCAGATGAACGGGTAGATGCTAAATTTCTACAGGTAACTTGGAATTTCCCAACGGGTTTCCCTCAAATTCGATGTGAGCAAAAGCACGCCATCGCTTCCGTGAAGTCACGTCGCCTTCCCGAGGGCTCGGGTAACCCGATCCCGGAATTGGATCCCCAAGTTCCCATGGTGAGCAAAGTTCCCCGTTTGATTTGTCCCTTGGCCAGGTGCCAGTCCGGTCTCGGCGCACCAACTGCTCGACGGACATAGCGCAAGCAGGGGAGGACTCTCGCAGGATGCACGCCAGTTTTGATGTAATGAGCAACTTCTTCAGCCCAGCGATGGTGATCAAGGGAAAGCAATATGCCGATTGTTGTATGCCGATTGTTGTTTTTTTGTGTCGCCACTTTCTGACCAGACCTCCCGGTCTTGTGAAGCTTACCTGGAAACCGGCCTATGTCCTGCGGGTGTTCAACGTAAGCATCAGCAGGTGTCAAATGGATGCCTTCCAAATTCAAAAGGCCAGATGCTGTTGAGGCTGGTTTCTCATATTTTTCCCATGGACTTTTAACTATATGGGTGTGTCTTAAAATCAGGCGGACCCCCTCATCTCATTTCCCGCATAAAACAAGCCAAAAGGGGGGTTCCCCCAAAAAGAGACAGACTCAAATCTTATTTTCCCAGCCCCGCTGGCCTTCCTCTGGTCTTCCCCGGGCCTTCGCGGAGCTTGTCCTGCTGAACTCAGCGGAGCGCTGATTCGCAAGAGCGAAGCGAGCGAACCCGCAAAGCTGGGACCAGAACTCTGGTTGCTCTGATCATTTGGCCAGACATTTGGGCATGTCTGTTTTTAGGGGACCTCCCCCCCCGCCCAAAGAAAAAGGTGGTTGTCCTTTTGGTTTCCCGTTCAGTCAGACTGCAAAGGGGTACAGACTCGTTGTGTTTGCAAAAAGCACCCAACACTCTGCTCTGAAAAAGAAGAAAAGGGGTCGTGGTGGAACTTGGAGGTTTTTCATGGTCTGATGCATGGCGTCTTGAACAATTCAATCTTGGATCAGCTACCAGTTGGCTGTGGACTGTGCAGAGAAGAAGCATCTCCACGTGAGCACCTGAAGCTGCACTGCTCCAAAGGGGTCAGCAATTACGAAGGTTTCTGTTTTGCTTTTGGGGCCAATGTTCTACCCTGTCATGCCTCGAGACCCATCCATCTATTCACTACCCATACCCGGAGCAACCGCGTGAGAGGCCGGCCGGGTGTGGCACATTTGTGCAGGCACTGCGGAATCGCTTCCAAAGGAAGCGATTCGCCGCCTTATACGGTGATGGTGTCAACAAGCCTGTGAATGGCGCGGGTTTCGGAGTTCCCCGCTTGTGTGATTTGTTGTTTCGACACTGGGACTTTGTGGTGGAACTGGTTTTGTCGCCTTGCCATTCGCAAGAGGTGCGTGTGCCAAAGGAGGGCTTAGTCCCGTGGAGGCATGAATCCACAGATCTCTGCCTGCATCATGTTTCTGGACCCAATTTTGGCATTCCTTTGGATGTTTCTGTCTAGTGACATCTTCCTGCACATGTAAATGGAGCTCACCGGACTTGTACATCGGATGATTTCCATGAAGTTTCTGCTTGTTTGGTTCTAGTCCTTTGCCATGTTGTGTGTTTGTGTTGGACCTCTTTTTGTTTTTTTGCTTCGTGGGTGTTTGGACGTTCAGGTCCCCAAATTCAGCTAATTTGCACCGCGGTTTTGTAGCCGTTCAACTCCTCTGCCATAAACCTGAAACTCAGCGCCGGACGTCCGGCCAGGAGGCTGCAGCAGAAGAGGCAAAGGGGGATGGCCCCTTCTGGAAGGGTCGAAAGGTTGGCTTTTGAAACCCGTCTTCGGATTGGTCTTGGAGGACACATTTCTAGGGGCCGTCCGGGCCAGTTTCAATCGTTAAATGATGGGAATAGGGTTGCGTGGGGACTTTAAAACCAAATAAAGTCATGAGAAAAGAATATGATAAATCATTCAGCCCCTGTTATTGCCCGCTCGTTCATTTCCGTGGTTGCACATTCTTTTTTTCCCCAAAAGGAAGCAAATCGCTGAACGGGAGGTCTGTTTTGAGCAACATCCATGTGGACAAGTCACCTCACATGTCAACCTCTTGGTCTGTGAGAATCCCTCACTCCCTGAGTTGCTGAACTGTAGTCAATTTTGCGAGAAGACCCTATTAGTGGTGAATAGCAAGTTCAGGTTGTTTTGTGGCCGATCTACGGAAGAGAGAATCCGGGTACTCAAATTCTTCCGAAACCCCGAAGGTGGCGAGGCGCAGCAGCTGGTTCCACGCTCCCCCGCCGGTGGTGCCAAAGGAGGTGCCCCTCATCGAGGCGCTCCATGGGTGCCATGGGCAAAAACATGCCGCCTCCCCCGCCCCAAAAAGAGAGCTTGTCGTTTTTCGTTTTGTCCGCGCCAAAGAGAAAGGCAGCAAAATGGACGTCTCACCCTCAGAAGGGCCGCATTTCGCACAATCGCCCACACGCTGGAGCGGGGGGGGGGGGGGGCTTAGGTTAGTGGAAGGAAAACTGAATGGAAGCCCATTTTGGGGGACCCCTATTTTCCGAGCACCCACGATTTGGTGGGAACAGAAGGCAACTTTGGGGTTACTTGCGTCAGGTGCAGCACCGCATCACCCAGCGGGTCATCAAGAGATGTCCATCGCGGCCCCGCACCACGCCAAAGTTAAGTTAAGGCGTTTCCCCGATTGGCCAAGGTGCTTCTAGCTGGCTCAAACCACAAATAACATATGGGTGTGGCTCAAAATTCAAGAGCTAGGGTTACGCACTTTTTAGTTCTTGTATCCATTCACCCTTCCATGCTATTTTGTTTCATGTTTTGAGCCACAACCATATAAACCAGAAGAACTGATTAAGGACCACAGCAAAATCTGTGGTAGCAACAGTTACGTCTTCGCTGCACATCCGAGGTTCTGTCAAACTCTCGGGTGTATGGTCCTTTTACAAGGGGGGAACTCCCAGAATTGTCAGCAAAGACCTGGGACTTGCACAATTTTCTGCTATGTTCACGGGGAGAGCAAATCATTTCATCTTTGGCTCATCTGCGCGTGAGTGGTCCTTGCAAGTACCTATCCATGAAAAAGTACAACAAGTTCATCAAGGGTCGAAGCATACTTGCGGGGATGCCCTGATCATTTCCAATTGTCTGTTATAGTAAATGCCCAGACCTATGTAAGTGCCAGGACCTAGCTTGAATCTTTAAGTATTTCCCCTGGCCTTGTGGATGTGTCTCTTTGCGTGCTAAGGTCACGGTGCTGCTAGGGGGTCAATTGGCATGGCCGTCCACCCCCCCAGGCATCCATAGCAACTTGACATTTTGACCTTTTGGTTGCCTGGTTTTGGCAATCATGTTTGAGGGCTCTCAATGTTTTCCCAAATTTGTTTGCATTACGCATCACTTTTCAGGCTTTGGTGAAAATCCTTGGGGTGGGGAGGTTTAAAGGGAATATCGGGAGCCCTGTGTTTGCTTTCGTGGCCCTCAAGTAAGCGCAACTCCGGGGATGCATCCACGGAGTTTGGGCTTTCCGCAGTTGGGGCCTTATGTTTAGAATGCCACCCAGGAATCTGTAGAAGGCACGGAGGGGGGAACTGTCATGGTGCCATCTTTCAGATTTGCCATGCCTCGCACTGACCCGGGAAGAGTAGAATTGCTTTGAGCCATGACTTTGAGCCAACGGTGTTGTGGCTTGAGCACCTTATTCCCACCTTTCGGCCTTTTGGCTCGGGTACTGCAGCACGTTTTAAACACCGATGAAGCCTGAATGTTACTATCTTTCAGTCATACGGGTGTCTCTCAAAATAGGCAAACACCAAAATGGGCTGTTTCCTTTTGGTTTCCCATTGGAACCACCCAAGAAGGGGTCCAGCATGTTGAGAAATGCCCCATATGTCGAGTAAAGCCCAGCCGCGAGGGGAGAGCTTAGCTGAGCAGGCCCACTAGCACTGCGTTTTTCCTCAGGCACTGCGCAGCCGGCAATGGTGGTCACAGCGCCGCAGGCGCAAATTTCATGGAGTCGGGACCTCTTCAGACAATTTGCGTGGGGTGTCAAATGGGGGCCCAACAAACCCCAGCGGGCCTAAGGTATCAAGATATTTTGATGTTTAGAGGAATCTCCTGTCAGGGGAATCCCAAGAACGACTTGTTGGTGGAGGAATTCGAGCCTTCTTTTGGGAGTGAGTAAGGCTTGATGACTATGAACGCCCAAGCGGAATCTATGGGACCTAGGGCCCATTTGTCATATGGCTGGACAGGCTGGCGTTCGAAAGGCTTCCGGCCATGTTGCACTCAGTTAAGCATACAAGAGAAGTCGGTTGTTCGCTTCAGCCAGGCATCAGCTACAGCGTGACAGCCTATGACCCCTTGTGAAAGCCCCAAAAGGCTCCGAGGCTGTTGCCCTAGAAATCATGGCGAGCCCCAGTTGATCGCGCATGATCTAAACGTGGCTTGCCGGATGCTCAGGTTTCCCGCAGATAAAAGGGATGAACTCGACACCGCAGTTGACTGAAGTCACTCACGGAGCCCTTTGTACTGGGAACCGCTCTGGATGGAAGACCTTGCATCGGTCTCGCTTGGAGTTCCATGCCAGCCGCGTCAACCCGAGCAAACGGGCCTGTGAATTGCTCGCTAGCTGGCTCCGGCAGCTTGGTTGAAGAGCTATGTGATCCGAATATCGCGGCAGGAAACATTTGTCTCAGTTGGTCGCGCAGATAACCTCCGGTTGCCATCTTCAAACATACATCCAAAGAGTAAAAATGGAACTAAAGCAAACAAACTCATCCAACCTTTTAGTTTCTCAGGTAGTGCCCATTTCTGCCATGGCCCCAAAAGGTCAACCTGGGTGTGTTTGTTTTGTTTTGTTTCGCGTTCGGCATGGAGCTCCATCGATAGGCCCGGCCGCAGACCTCGGCTGGCCAGGTTCGGAACTCGCTCGGGGCAAGTGAGCAACGGTTGACCCGGTCCGTTTGGTACTCCCGGTTTTCCTTTTACCGCCCAAAGAGCAGCCCCTATTTGGAGAAACACCATAAACAAATGTTGGCTGGTCTTTAATGTGAGCGGATAGCTCCCAAGATCTTTTGGAAACACAGAAGCAAATGGCTTTTCCACTAAGCCTTCAAAAGGTGATCGACCTTTTGCTCAAGGGGGAAGAGCAACCCTGTTGAAAGGGGAAACAGGTGTGAAATTCACTGAAATACATCACCCCATGGGGGCAAGTTTGAACCGGTCACCCATTATCAACCGGGGTTGGCAAAGTTCCCAGGCACAATGAATCTTGACGGCAATCTGGCGAGCTTATGAAGGTCCCTCAAGTTGGTTGGCAGGTGAAGAGATTTGTGAAGGTGCATCGGCACCCCAGGATTATCAAGCCCCTTTTTGATGGAGGTGTGTCTCTGAGCGGATCATGCCGCCCAATTCATCCGATAGGTTTATCAATCCGGAATCAACATGAGGCCATTGTGAATGTTGGCGGGTAGTTTTTGTATCTCTCTGGCATCATCGTTCACGGTACGGCGGGATGAGCTAGCTTTAGCTGGTCAACATTTCTCCTGAACCCAAGAATATCCCAGAAATCTTGCAGATCCAGCATGTTCGTTGGGTTTCACTGCATTGACATGGCCGGTTGAGAATCCTGGGAATCTCTTGCGGTGAGCACCTACGGGCAAGAATGTATGCACGTGATTGACCATGACCACGGCTTATGCAAAGAGCCAATGATTGGCTGGAAGGCTGTACTGTGCATCTAGAAGCTGATTGCAATGCGAAAGGACATGCTGCCGAACCAACGCTAGCATTCACTTTTTTCGCGTGCATGAATTGATTGCATTTGTTCCTTTCCGCCAGCCGATTCGAAGGCCACATCTCCTACAAACATGTGAGGCACCCTGGAAGACTGGGACCTCGGCCGCCTATGACTCAAACCCACACGGAATATACAAGATCAAGCCAAGGCGATGCACGGCTCTGCGCCCCCCAAGTAGTCGCTTCTCGTTTGGCCATCGAGGCTACCGAGCCTCAGAAAGGAGACGTACCCATAGCGTCGCATGGGATTTGCCTGCCAGGTCTCTTTGGAAGGCGGGTGTTGGTTTGCCGGCAGAGATGCGCGGTGACAAAGGAGCCCCATGTTTCGCTGTTCAGCCCGCTTGAGCATCAGCTTTTGAGTCACTGTTAGACAACTGAGTCATTTTGATGAGTTTCCTCTTGGGGGGATGCTGAAGGGGAAATACAGGGAGTTGGGCATATCCCCCAACTTAGTTATACCGGGTGCGCCAGTCGTTGTCCTCGGGCTAGTGTATGGGGAGGCGTGCCAGTCAGCAAAAGTGGTCACGGGTCAATGGCGTCACCGTCACCAGGAGTTCCTTTGTAGCATGTGAGCTATGCCACGGAAGTGTAATTTTAATTTAGGCGTTGCTTGCCCGCGTGCGCGCGTGTCGTAGCAAGATGTGTGGCATGCTTGGTCACAGATTCTTGTCTGGAAATCTGGTAAGACTTCTTTTTTCCCGAGGTGAGAGATTCCAAGACGAGATTTCCATATTTGTAAGTCATCGGATGAGTGCCTGTTGTTTTGTCAGTTCGTCCCTTTGTGCCGAACATTTTCCAATCAGAGTATGCCTCTATTTAGGCACACACACACACATGCGCAATTCCATCACGCGACGATCTCCATGTTCCTCACTTGGGCCACCAGGGGGTTGCTTCTACGTCACCAGGAGAGAGCAAACTTGGTGCCTGCCATTCATACATGCTGGTAAGTTTGTTCTCAACCAACGTCCCCTTTGTCGCCAGGAGCGGCTGCCTGCTGGCTTTCTGCTTACGAACTGACCCTTCACAAAGCAAATCGACCTATGACCTTTTTTGGTGTCGCAGTTTTGGCCACAAGTCAGTGCTCTTTTTCTTCTGTCCAGGCCATACGCCCCGAGGCTCCGACGAGGCAGAATGTTGCGGAGACCAGGTTAATTTCGCGCAAAGCGACTGATTGCTGGGAGGGCGGAGTGGAGATGGAGTGTCAGCGAGGCTGTTGAGTATGCTTTCCAAAGGCTGTTCGCATGTTCAATGGTCATTCTAACGTTTTGCACGGCGTCTCAGAATCAGCACTCACCCAAAGTTTGAATGAGCTCACCAATGGCCGAACAGTGGAATGCAGCGGTTCAAAAGCCCTCCCCTTCCCCTCGCCAGGTGCCACCTGTCCCGGAAGAGCCGGATCTGCTTGCTGAGGAGCGAGGGAACACACCCTGGGAACCAGATTCAGCTTCAGCCTATCTCAAGTGCAGAATCTGCCCCAATTGCCTCCGGTTTTGTTGCCTCCGTTGAGGGGCCTAAACTCAAACAGGTCCCTGGTTGGACACATAGCCGCTATAGCCATGTCCTTGTGTATGTTCGGGGGTGCCAACCCCAGTGACAACTTTCTCACCCAACAAGCAAGTTGCCCCTGCAAAAGAACAACAACAACTACTTAGTATTGTTTTCAAACAAGAAACGTCTGCGTGTGACTGATGCAAGTTCAAGCTTCCGGAACAGTTGGAACAGCTGAAGAGTTTGACCAGCGGTGGCTGATTGAGGGTCTGCCCGCAGATGTGGGTGTATCTTTGCTTTTTGAATGCTTTTTGACCCCCAAAATTATGGGTTCCCGTTGCCTTCATGTAGAGCCGCCAACAAAGGCAGCCTCAAGAACAGACCCCCCCCCCCTTGCCTGAGGCAAGCTTTTGAGGGCGTGTTTCGGAAGCGTGCGAAGGAAGACCCCAAGCTGCAAGAGGAGAATGACAACGAGGAGAGTCGGGCTGAAGGGTACCATGGCCATGTACAAATTGCTGCAGGATGCTGAGATGGTTGAGATTGATACGGGCAGCCATCAGCGTTCGACAAGCGGGACTTCTAACATGGGTAAATATGTTAGTTTCATGGCATTCTTTGTATAGTCCAAGGTTTCAACACAAGTCACGCTTTTCGTTTTGAACCGCTTGCAAAACACCAACACAGCACACAAATTATAAACATATCTCATATGTGGTAGATTTTGCTGGGGCACCAAACTGTGTTTGACTTGGTGTGGACCCCGGAAAGGTGAAGGTTCTCCTCCGTCAAACACGGGTCACCCCCCAAAAAGCAAAGCAGGGGTTTATCAATGAACTATCACCAGGGCTCCGGAGATTGCCACCCCAAAGGGGCGGTTTTACTCACTGGTGCGGCTGGTTTAGATGAGTTTCCTCTTAGGATGATGTTAAAAGGGAGATCTAGGAACCCTGCTCCCATTGTCAAATTGTACGGTTCCTTTTACCTCCTGAGGCCTTTGTTTGACGAAAGCGTCAGGAGCCTTTTGGCATGCAATGCGGCTGGAAAGTGAGCTAACCTGATCGCTGCTTGCGTCGCCCGCGCGAGGAACAAGGAATGAACCAGCCGCCCACACTGTTTGAGTGGTTTGGGTAATTTATGATACCTTGCGCAGATGGATGTCGCGCATGTGAGGGGCTGCCTTTATCTCGCCCGACACCGCAAACAGAGAGACTCGTTGACGATGGGGTTTCCAATTGGGAAGTGTGTTGCTTGGCTTATGTAGTTGTTTAAACATATTGTCTGAATACTATGTTGTTATTTCATTTGGACCTATATGTTCATGAAAACATCATATTGGACAACAAATGAAATGTTAGCGTTGTGTCACGGCGTTGTGTTAAACATGTTCTTTAAACTGCGAAATAACTGATTACTTAGCTATACGGGTCAGGTTTGACATGGATTTGCGCCCAGGTGTCTAGCAACTCAGTCGCATATTTGCTGAGACACAACTCAAAGCTGACCTTTTGAGTTCCTTGGTCCCAAAGGCGATTTGTGCCCAATTTGCAGGTGCCCAAAGGGCCCTAAAGGGCGGCCCTCGGCGACCCTGGCTTCCTCGCCTCATGGTGTTTAGAATGTATTGAGCTGGGGCTTTCCCATGGGGCACCCTTTGGACCAATTGGGGAGATGATACCGCAACGCTGGGACCAAAGTGCCGAAGCGATGAGTAAGGGTTGACTGGCTATTTGTTGAGCACAAGTTGTGCAGCAGTACTGGGCCGCAGCCAATGGCCCGAAGGGAATCGGAAGTAACACCCTCAAGCAGAGTGCTTGCATGAAGCACAAACCGATCGGAAAGGCCTAAACAAAACACCCAAGAGGCATTCATGCACAGAGCTGGCGGATCTGGAAGGATAATATACACGAGGTTCAGTCGAAGCCAGACATGGCACAAGGGTACCCACGTGGGGAGCTGGGAAGCTGCGTTAATTGGCTTGCGGATCTGTAACCGTGCCTTGTCTGCGCGTCAGGGATGAAGGAAAGCCGGGCTCGATCTTGGGGATTCACTTGGTATGTAGGTGAAAAAGTGTTTTGATTTTAGACAAGGGACTCCACTGCTGCACGCCGCAAAATCGAGAGCCATGGCAGGGCTCAGGCTGGCCGGTTGCCGTTGCGAGACCCCGTTCAGGTAGAAGGTGACGTGTCCAGACTCGACAAGAGTTTGTGCACTGGTCGCTTTTGGGCCACCGCATGTTATTTTCTTGGAACCGCTGAAATTTGATGCGGGGCCTCAATTCGTCGAATCGAAAGCGTGCAGTAACTCGACGCCTTACAGCAGGGGAAGGTGCTTGGCGTAGGTTGTCAAACCCTTCACATGGAGTGCGACAAGCAGCATGAGTCAGAGAATCGCGACCATATTTTAGGAGCTTTGCACATATCTAAAGGCCACCCCTGAGAAGACATGGTGGTGTCTTCGATGGTAGTTTGAGCCTTGTATGCATTGCAACACCAGCCCAAAACAGGCTGGCTTTGCCGATTTAAAGATCAGCGAGGTTGACTTCTTTTTAGGTGATGTTGAAGGGCCCCCGTTTCACGTCCATCTCAAACCTCGCGACCGCTCGCTCGCTGGCGCTCCGCAGTGTTTTGGCTCCGAAATCTTGGGGCTCTGACAATCCAGTTCCCCCACAGCTGCCTAACTTCCCGCCTAGTCCCCAAATCCCCGTGAAAAACCGCACGTTTTTCTCCCGGCGGACCTTTGCCGTGCAGAGCGACATTCCCTTTCGCCCATAGCCGCCTGCGGCCAAGCTGCCGGATGGATCTGGGCCGGCTGCGCCTCGGCTCGCGCTCGCTATTTTTTTGAGGGGGGGGGGGTGGCGAAGAAGAAGTCAGGGTGGCAGGTTTTGAGGACGCACCAAATCAGGCAACCCATAATTGGTGGTTTGGATTGATGGTTTGGGGATTTGACCCCCTGGATCTTGTGGAGGGTTAGTGGGAAACCACCCCTAATCACCACCCATTGGAGGCAATGACCAAAAACATGTTTTGAGGATGTCGCGCGTTTTGCCCTTCATGTTGTGGGCTCAGGGAAGCCACGAAAACTCCCCCCCTCCCCACCCACAAATTGGGTTTGTTTGTTGTAGCAGGTTGCTCTTACATGGAGGATGCAAGTGGTTTTACGTTTGGCTATTGGCCTAAGATAGTACACGTTTTTGGGCCCCTGAGCAACCCTGGGTATTGAGAAGGTGCAGAACTTTGACTGCACTTGAAACATATCATACTTTTCATTATTTCTAGAGTTCGTCGATTTTGTTTTGGCCTGGTCAGGAACACGATGAGTTTCAGGTTTTCAAGGTTTTCCTGTAAAATCCACTGGTGTGGACAATTTGGGCTTGGTGCCCTTCTTCAAAAGTGCCCTGCTCATAGGACTGGGGAGGCAAATGACTGTGCCCAATTTCGAACAAGAGCAAACATGAGTCTTCAGGGCCACCACCTTGCCACCCGTTTGGGTTTGTTTCCGATTCGGGTGTGTGTTTTTGTTCCAGAATTTGCTTCCCTCATCTTTGAGAGTCGCTATTTCGAGTTGGCAAACCAAGCACCACGCCTGTGCTACTTTCCCGTTGTGTGGAGCCACATGCTCACCAGGGGTGTTTCTCAGGTCTCCCGTTGGTTTCCCCAAGCCTTCCAAAGTGGGTTTGCGTTGGAAGCAATGCCAATGGCTCCAATGGCTCTCCGCGCCCCAAGGTTCGCTTCTGATCGCGCCAAAGGCTGAGCATCGCGGAGTGACCCCCCAAAGGCCTCGAGGCGGAGCCTAAGAGTAGAATGTGGTTTGGTTTCTTGCAGTTCCGCTTGGGGGGCCGCTGTTGGGGGCGAGTTTTCCGTGGTCGTTGGTTTGAGTATGAATTGAGGGTTTGGAAGGAGTCGGAAAAACTGTGAATCTATGTTTGTCGCTGTCAAGGGCATCGACAAGGTTCAATATGTTCCTCAATCAGGCACGCCTGGCTTGTGTTTTGTTTTACATAATGCACGTGCGTGCTGTGGTCGCCTGAGAATTCAACGGCTGTCTGAAGTCCTTCCAAGGGCTTTATGAGCATTATTCTTGTTCACTCCAAGCAAGGCATATTGGGCAACACACATCAGAAGATACCAATCCAGTAACAACTTGTCGATTGTGTGTTTCGACTGTTTGGAGGATCACTGTTCAAAAGGCCCTCCCTTTCTTGACAACATTTGCATCGGGGTGAAAGCCTTTCCTGAGACAAGCGTCCCCCCCTACTCATGGACCACAGGTTCGGCTGAACCTCCACTGCTGAAGGCATGTGGCATCTTTCTGGAAGCCACACTGTTTCCTTTTCTTGGATAGATTCACTTTGGGGGCATGATCATTGCTACTAAATTAGCATGGCCGCATAAACGTCTGACACGGACAATGGGCATTAACCATGCGAAGGATTATCCGCTTCAGGTCAGGGGGGGATATTTTATTTGAAACCATTTCGCCTGTTCGTTTGCAGTGTTTCTTTCCCATGGTGTCAAACGAGGTAGTACAGAAAACTTCATTTCCTCTATTTGAAGCTTGCTAGGGAATATGGGGTGATTCGATCAACCTAGCCCAACCCTATGGATGTTGGGTTCTTTCCACATTTCCCACTGAGAACTAGCAAAGGATCTGACGTACTAGTTGAACTGCTCACAATACCTCGTTTATCCATTGATAGTGAGGCTTCATATACACCTTCAAAAGCAGGAGTCAAGCGCACGTGGGCTTTGGGCATTGTGCAGTTGGCCATGCGAGGGGATGCTTGCCACTTCTGGAAGCCAGCATGAACTCGTCATTGGGAAGGGCTTCCAGTGTCCGATAGAAAGCCACAGAGGGTTCGAACTTCTAGGTGAGACCTGTCCTGGTGTGACAACGACATTTTGTCAGAGTGCTGTTGCGCGGGGTGCTGAAGGATGGTGCTGTGCAAGGGTTTGACTAGGTTTTTGCCGGGTGCCTTTGCAACGTGCCGCAGGTTTCTTCTTGCGAGATGGAGCGGAGTTGCGCAGGGTGCTGTTGCAGGGTAGTCTTGCAGGTTCTGTTGCACAGGGTGCTGGGGAATGGCCAAGAGTTTTGGCATGCTGTACCAGGTTTCAGTGTTGCACTGGGTGCGGTTGGAGCAGTCGGAGTCTGCTTCGAAGCAGTCTGTTGGCGCAGCAAACTAAGCACGCTCAAGGTTGTTTCTGCATTGCTTGTACTGGCATTAGCATTCATGATTGTAAACCACCTGCTTTTTGACACGCAAATGGCAATCTTGCTATTTGGGGGTCTACGCTGGTGAAATGTTGTACTTTAGGCACGTTTAAGTCGACTGCAAAACCGAGGGGCTGCACATGTTCGCCGGAAAAATTCAGGGGCTCCCCGTTTCAGTGCTCCATTCGTTTGATGGTACAGATACATCTGGCCCAACTTCAAGCTTCAAGTAAGCCTCCTTACGGGGTGGGCCAATGTTTTTGAGGAGCGTCAACAAGAGGCACGTCTTTCCGAGGTCAGTGGGGCTGCTGCGGCTGGCTCCGCGGCGTGGCCTAAGAATAAGACCAACTGACTTCGCCTTCAGATGGTCCCGATTTGTGTCTTCAACAAATGTACAATTGCTGGTCCAACATATGTCAGGAATTGATACGCTTGGACCTTTGCGCCTAGGTTTCCGACCACTTGACGTGGTCCACAAGACTCACTTTCGACCAGGTCATGTGACCCAATGTGACAATGTGTCACAAGGGTCCTACTTGTAAGAAGTATCTCAATTTCGATTGGAGACCCCACATGTCTCGTAGGTAAATCCAGCTGACTAAGTAATTTCTTGATTTGCTGATGGCCATTATTTGTTTTGCCACGTCCATGTTTTCTCGGGACAGTCCTTTTCAGCCCCGAACTTCTTTTTCAACCGAGTCGATCGGACATCGGCCCGGAATCCATTCCTCGGCCCCGCATACGGGGCCTTCACATTTCGAAGTGGAAGCCCAAAGGAAGCCAACGAGTCCAATTTTGCATGACAGGCCGATTGTGAAGCACAACGTGTGTTGTCAGAAACACTTTCCAGACGCTGGCCATTTTGGCAACAGGATGGGGCGGAGCGAAGTCTTTGGGATAGCACACGTTCGATCCTAGAATTTAACTCTGGACTGACTAATGACCTGAACATGTCGATACTATTACTATGGTAGACTATGGTAAAACAGCTCAAAGTAACAGCCGCTGGTTGCTTAGGGACACTGCACTTTTTGCCATGGATGCATACATTAGGGACCTCTTAATTTGAGCTGGTTTGACAAGGAATACGTAAGAGTGTCAACTTGTCGCATTCAGAAAATTATCGTTAGGGACCTTTCAGCATTTTGAGCTTGTGCTGACTCGAGTAGCCGCACGCAAAGCACTTAATTAGCACAAGAGACCTGACAGTTTCTGAAGAGAGTTTTGACCGGCATGGAAAAAGACTGCAACAGTGACAGCCGCGAACCGCTTCAACCCGTGCAGCTGGGAAAACAGTTGAAATGTCACATGCGCACACAGTGTATAGACATATGCTCGTGGGTTGACACATTTTAACCTCGCTCAAGCCTCGCCTCAAGCCCAGGATCAAAAATCTTCGCGACGCTCCTCTAAGTCGACGCACGGCCGCAAAGGGTCGACAGTTGGATATCCAAAGCAACACACCCTACCTAGGAAAGCTAACAGTCAGGCAGAGCATGCATCAGAACCTCGAAAGGTGGGTCCTTTCGTTTTGTTTTATCAACTTTCTACAGTGTTTGGTGCCCGGGACTCATGAGCCCTTGCCTGGATCAACCTGGAATACAAGGCGGTTTCCTTTTGGTGGGCTAAGCCTTCAATTTCTTGTAAGGCTCCAGTCTGTACTCGACCCGGTCCTTTGATATAAGGGTCCCAGGAATTTCATGGCAGGTAGTTTCTCTTTGGATCGGTGATATGCCTTGAATGCTGGATTCGCTGAGTATCTAGGTCCCCCAGTGGTGTCCTTTTACCCTTTTTTGGGGAGGGTTCCCCATAGACTACAGAAAAAGGTCTAACCTCTCTACTGGAGGACCTAGGTAGAGTCCCAGAAATAGGACTAAAGCTGTCGCCCCGGAAGTCAACTACATGTTTTGTCGTCTTCTGCGGCGGCCTTCTTTGTGCCGTTGCAAACTCTCTGTTTTGGTTCATACCAAGCTTCCATTTGCTTAAGACTATTTTTTTATTTTTGTTTTATTTCCCTTGTTGGTTTTAACAGACATTTATCCCTACTAACAATGTGTTTTTTCCCGGGTCTTAACCAAATGGAAGCAAGAGGGAACCCTGAGGAAGGAACCCTTGCTATTGGCGCAAATCAGCTTCCGTACGGCGGCAAGGCGCAGAGAGGATTTTGTTTCTCTTCGAATCACATTTGCCGTTGGAAACTCGGCTGTTCAGCCCAAGAGGTTTTTAATCCAACCCTAGTTCCTTCTTTTGTCTCGGAACAACTCCTTAGCCTGGAAGGCTAGACCCCTTTCGGTTATATGGGTTGCATGTTGACCCAGCCGACCCGGAGCATCTTTCAGCGTAAGTGCTGGGGCGCAGAATCGAATTCTTCTTTCTTTCTGATCACTGGTGAGCTGCGAAGCATTTGTTGACCCTGATAATCTGGGTTGTTCAAAAACAATCCTTGATCCTCATGCCAGATGCTCGTTGATCAACAGAAAATCGGAAAATGGGATCCCTGAACAACGCTCTTCTAACAGAGCGGAACAAAAACGGTTGAACAACCTCTCTCTGAGCTGGAGCCTCTGGCTTGCTTGCTTTTTGGGGTTCCGAGGTTGCAGCCTGGACGGGCCTTTGCTGATATACCATCGGAACCTCAGAAGGCAACGGAACGGAAACGCTTCGACCGTTGCGAAAAGAACTGACAGGCAGTCCTGAAACATGTGCCACGATTCCTTGAACATCATTTGGCCAAGGAGCCATAGCCATCCATAGGTGCCTCGGTCTGGGTTTCTTGCTTTTTGCAGCCGTGCAGCTTTCATATTCCTGCTTTCCAATGTCATTCTTTTGCTGGGGGGGGGGGTTCTAAGGTGAACCTTTTGATTTTTGGACTGAATGGCAAAAACTAGTTCCCCAATTCTGAGCATGAAGGCCCTTAGACAACCATTGTTCAAGGGGGAAACACAGGAAGTTGTCTTGGCGGGGTTTTGAACGTTGTCGGGTGCGCGCGATGGGCGAGCGGATGGCTGTGTCTTTTGATCTATTGCGAGGGATCAGGCCTGACGTCCAGCTTGAAGCCTGTCTCAAGACGGAGCAGTTGGATGCAACATTTATGGTGCCATAAGTAAGATTAGGAACCGGGGCCTGGGGTAACGTGGAAACGTATTTGGAACCTTGGTGTAGCCTTTTGCACGATGCATTAACATATCGCAACGCGCAAAAAGTGAGACTGGCGCGTCAGATTGCCCCATTTCCCCAGTCGACTTTGGTCTGTCGTTGTTTTTCCTCTTAATTGGAATGCCAGCCTGAACAATGAGCCTTTCCAGATGTACCCAAGAAGCCACACATTAGAGAAATCAGACCCGGTTAATAGTAAAGGAATCGTAACGGAAGGATCTCAAGCTATAGATATTGCACATACATGCATGCGATAGCATCAAGTAACCGCTAGTGACAGTAATCTCACATGCAGACCTTACCTATGATGAAGTTTTGCTTTGTTGTTCCCTATTGTAGGTTGGTGAGTTGTAACAGTACACCCAGATCAAGTAATGTTTATCTTGAAGTGCCAAATAAGGATAGAGCTACGCTGCAGTGGCCGTTGAATGGGATTCTAATGGTTTGGTTTGGGGCTGTCAAGGGACGGGTTGCCAAGGGTGTGCGTGTTTCAATCACTTAGGGGCCTAAAAATCCTGCAGCCTCAAATCCCTGCAGCTTTCGGTTGTTTGCAAAGCAGGATGTTTATTTGTTAATTGCTTGATTTGATATATGTGTCCACACCAGGAACTTGCTTTTTTTGTCGACAGAATCCTCTTCGATGATGACTCCTCAGTTGGCTTTGAGTATCGCACTCAACATGTCCGATTCCAACGCAGTTGCAAGCTTTACTATGTTTTGCAATTCACCAAGTCCGACCCAACAAGCAAGGGACCTTTTAAGTGTTGGATTCCTTTGTTGGACCCTTCGCATTTGAAAATCGAAGGTCTACCCGAAGATTCTCGAGTGCCTTGGCGACGACCCTGTCCAGGTGGGGTCCGTTTTCCCTCAGGATTGTGTCTTGTAGCCGTTCTTGGAGCGTCCAAAGCGCTTGAAGCATGTAGCCAGCATGGGGGGGGAGTTCTCTCCACTTTCCGTGTTTCTGGACTTTACACTCTGTACTAGGAAAATCATTTTATTGTAAGCAACACGTATCTACTGTTGCAAAAGTGTAAACTTTCCGAGCAGTGTGTGCTGAGAGAAACTCATCTTGTATTTTGTCACCATGAATGTCAAGAAAGGAATCTCGCTCTCTCTCTCTCTCTCTTGCTTCCCTGCTTCCTTGTTTCCTTGCTTCTTGCTTCCTTGCTTCCTTGCTTCCTTGCTTCCTTGCTTCCTTGCTTCCTTGCTTCCTTGCTTCCTTGCTTCCTTGCTGCCTTGCTTCCTTGCTTCCTTGCTGCCTTGCTTCCTCGCTTCCTCGCTTCCTTGCTGCCTTGCTGCCTTGCTGCCTTGCTTCCTTCCTTCCTTCCTTCCTTCCTTCCTTCCTTCCTTCCTTCCTTCCTTCCTTCCTTCCTTTCTTGCTTCCTTCCTTCCTTCCTTCCTTCCTTCTTTCCTTCCTTCCTTCCTTCCTTCCTTCCTTCCTTCCTTCCTTCCTTCCTTCCTTCCTTCCTTCCTTCCTGCCAGAGCCTTGTTTCCAGTTGGTGATGTCAAGCGGCAACACCTTCCTGGCATAGGTACAGGTATATACATATATATAGTATTTATATGTGCCAAAGTCAGAACATAGTCAGAACACCCTAGTACTTCAGGCAGGGATGGTGGACGGACCGAAAGTTTGACTGAAGGATTCCATCAAGCCATGTCCACGACCCCAGTTACTCCGCTGTTTGCGACAAGTAAGAAGCAAGCAAAGAAAGAGACACGAGCCATGCAGTGAGTTGATGCATGTTGCAGTGAAAGCTAGCGATTTTACAGGGATGTTTCGCGGACTTGACACAGTGGGCGGTAGGGGGCAAGCACGGCAAGCACGGGACAAACACCGTACTGTGTCACCAGCATCTTTGAGCTTCCCTCAGGTTGCCATATTTTGCCATGGCTTGCCCAACTTTGACGAAGGCTTGGGGCTCGACTCTGGCGATTGGCCAGGACTGTGACTTGCAGGCTGTGGAGGATGACTCCGAGGAGCCCCTCGGCGGGAGACGTGTACGTTTTTGCTGGCGGAAAACCTGTGTAGTGAAAGGGAGCTGTTCGACGGATGGCTCCGCCTGCCAAAGCTGGGTACAAACAAATCCTGTGTTCAACTTCTTGATTGGAAGCTAGGCCAGGCAACCCCCAAAAGTGCCCAAAGATGGTCACTTGACGAACCATTGGATAGCCGTTTAGCACGGCACGGCTCGCTTTTTTCCATGCCCTCTGTTGAACACCCAAGACTTCCCAAGAGACCCTGCAACGCGCAGTGGATGGGAAAGAGTGGGCCAAGCAGTTTAGCTGCACGTTTACATGTTGTCCACTTGTTTACCACTTGTTTGGACTCTCAAATCGAGCAACAAAAAGCGAGAGCTTGCCTTTTCTCTCCTTCAACCAGGCGGGGGTTGCTGTGCAGGTGTTAGCCACGCCCGCATTCACGAGGTGCACCCCGACTCAGTGGCTCAGAATTCAAATGCAACAAGTTACCCCTCAGGAACCGGGGTATATAAAAAATGTTGCGACATCAACAACAACTTATTAGGCACCCTACTAGGCGTCAATCAAACGTAAGTCAAAACACTTTCCAATGGTCATGGCAACTGCGAGGAAGGAAGGGAGGGGGGGAGGGAGGGAGGGAGGGAGAGAAGGGAGGCCGGCCCGAAGAGGTTGTTTGCGCTTGCTGCACAGGGGCTGGGGCCTCCCACCCGCCTTTGTGAGCTGTGCACTTCTTCTCACCTGGCTGATGCGGTTGTGTGTGCTTGCTCCAAAAACTGATGGAGTCCACCCTAAACCCACCCTTGACCCACCCTAAACCCAGTAAACCCACCATATGGCAACCAATAAGTTTGTAAGTTGTTTCTTGATTCTCGGGAAAACATGCTGATGCCTCAAACATGTTTTTTAAGCCTCACCCTCAGGGGAACCGACGCAGCCCTTGGCCATTTGTCAACCAGAAAGGGGTACTCTTAAGTTCAGGGGGACTTACAGCAAGGGCAGCCAGAACAGCCGAACAGCCCATTCTCAGTGTATTAGCTGTACGTTCATTACGTTCATTTAGGATTGCTAGTCCTATCCTAGCAACTCCTGAGTCGTACATGTCGTCGTTGGGCTGGCTAGGCTAGCTTTCGTTCACCCGCCTCTCAAGTTTTTCTATGCAAGTCCCTCAGTGAGGATCTGGTGCTTGGTTGGCGCATGTTGTGAACGGTTTGCATCAGGCAGCATGTGGCTTGCGGTTCTCACCAATCGTCCCTTCGTTTCGACTGCCCATTTGGCCCGCCAACTCCGCTTAGCTTGCGGCATCTGAGGCTTGCGAAGCTTATGGACGAGTCAGGCCTCAAGTCGAGTTGTTTGCGAAGGGGGGGAAACAAGCTTGCAGAAGAAGGTTGCAGATGCGAATCAGTTGTAGTCTGCCAGGGTTGTGCCAGAGGTTTCTTAGGTAATCTTCTCCAAATCGTTCAGCAATGTCTCCTCCGTGGAGGGGGACAGGAGAGCTAGGTTTGGCCTTGCAGCGGAATCAGGTTTTGGACCATGTGTTCCACCATCAATGGAGTGGAGTGACACGTTTGCAGGAGTGGCCAACTTTCGCATCACAAGGGTGGTTCCGCGGCTCTGGTT